CATCAACAAACAATCAAATATATATGTAATTTATTATTACAATCAATGATAGTGTAGTGTCATATTATGTGTGTGTGATAGAGAAAAGAATACGGTGTAGTGTTGTGTCGGGGTAATGATATTAATATATATATTCAATATACTACAATCAAAATACTATAAGCAATACTTAATATATATATATATATTATACATATATCTCTTATTGTTGCGTGTGTATTATGGGTGTTGTTGTGTGGATCTGTTGGTGTTGTGTGTGGTGTTTGGGTGGTTCGTGGTATGCTGAGGTGTTGTGTTGCTGGTGTGTGGGTTTGTAATATATACTATAAATAATAATATATATTATTATATATAATATACTATATATATAGTATATAATATATATATATATATAATATATATATATAGTGTATTGATGTATATGTATATATATATATATATATATATATATATATAATATATATATATATATATATATATATATATATATAGACGGGAAGGAGTGAATGAGAGAGTGAGAGAGAGAGAGAGAGAGAGAGGAGAGAGAGAGAGAGAGAGAGAGAGAGAGAGAGAGAGAGAGAGAGAGAGAGAGAGAGAGAGAGAGAAGAGGAGGGGAGAGCGAGAGAGCAAGTGAAAAAAAGTGATTGAAGGCAAGAAAACAAAGAGAGAGAGATAAAGTGAATAAGTAATTGAGAAAAAAAACATTAAAGAGAAAAATAAAAAAAGAGATAGACAGATAGAGAGAGAATGAGAGAGAGGGGGAGGGGAGAGAGAAGGGGAGAATGGGAGTGAGAGAAAGAGGGAAATAGAGACAGAAAGAAGAAAAAAATAGGAAGAGAGAGAGAGAGATGAATGGAATGAGAAAGAAAGGGACGAAAGAAAGAGAGAAAGAGAGAGAGTTTGTGTGTTTGGGGGAGTTAGAGAGAGTGTGTGTGAGAGTAAGAGCGAGATAGAGGAGAGGAATGGAAGAAGGCAGAGAGGGGGAGAGAGAGAGAGAGAGAGAGAGAGAGAGAGAGAGAGAGAGAGAGAGAGAGAGAGAGAGAGAGAGAGAGAGAGAGAGAGAGAGGGAGGAGAGAGGAGGAGGGAGAGAGGAGGGAGGGAGAAAGAGAGAGAGAGAAATAAAAAAAAGAGAGAGAGAGAGAGAGAGAGAGAGAAAAGGAGAGTGATAGAAAGTCCCGGAGAGAGAAAAATAAAGAAATAAAGTGAGAGACAAAATGTGTGAGTCAAAGTAAAACAAGAAAGTGAGAGAAATAAAGAGATGGATAGATAGAGGAAGAGTTAGGAATAGTTAGAGAGAGTGAGTATGTGAAAGAGAGAGCGAGTAAGAGGGAGGGGAGGAGCGGGAGTAAGAGAGAAAAGGGTGAGAGAGAAGGAGAGAGAGGGTGGTTAGGGAGAGGGGGTGAGGAGAGAGAGATAGTTAGAAGAGAGAGGGAGAGAGAGAGAGAGAGAGAGAGAGAGAAAGTATATGTATATATAATTTAAATAATTATCATCATATCAGAGCAAAAGTACTATGATCACCCCTCCCCAGTTTATCATTGCTAGATGAAATAAGGCCAACAGTTATCTTATCATAATATTAAAGAATAACAAACTGCAATATAACGATCATCGATTAGTCTTTATTCAAAATAAGCATTATAATACATCTTGCTATATATCTTCCATATTTGTCACACATTGCTGGTGTCCCTTTTACTGCTTCGGAATTCACAGAATTCAGACTAACGGAAACCGACGGTCATTGTTCGTGTTGTCAGATTCGGGCCATCTCTTACACAGCTGGCTTCTGGATGTTCTGGCCGTCGGAGAGGACGATGCCGCTCGGCCCATCAGACACGACCGTCGTGAAAGGCTCCCTGAACTGGACGATCTGACCCCACGAGGTGATCATGCCGGTGGGCCCAACGATGTGGCGCTTGGAGCGGCCCGTCATCTTGAGGTTCTCGTCCAGGTGGATGGGAGGACCGTTCTTCAGGATGATGCCGGAGGGGCCAAAGGAAAGGATCTCATGGGCCATGTCGTGGCAAACAGAAATGGCGTCGCGCAGGATGCCCGAGGTGCCGATGTTGCCCGCCGGAAGGACCCAACCGGAGTTGATGGAGCGAGCGCCAGCGCACGCCACCACCGCTGCTGCCACAACCTGACGAGAAATAATCATGCCCTGCGTTTATCCATGATAATTCAATACATTTGATCTTTACAAATATGGATATAAATAAAAAACACAAGTAGCGGAAAATCACTGAAGTGCGTATATTATGTGGACAGAGTTACCACATATATTTGCAATGCTGAGTCTGCTTTACTCACAAGGAACTTCATATCTGATCGCTCGGCGTGCCAGAAAATCTGATGCACCAGTCTCCTCACCCGCCATTATATATACCCGTCCGCCGCCCCGTGGCCTCCAAAACGCATCCTCAGTCCACCCGCCCACTGTGTCTATTAATACCGTACAGAGGGTATACATTCACATATGCATGTATGCATGCATGCACGATTTTCTCTCTTTCTCTCTCCCTCTCTCTATATATGTATATATGTGTGTGTGCGTTTGTAAACAGAGCGACAGAGAGGGAAAGAGGGAAGTAACACACATACACACATTATTTGATTTCCAAAGTCGAGAACTTCAACGAAGAATTAATATGGTGGTGGATCATATTTCCTTATTTGTTCATTTTTTTCGTTTTCATTCATGTAACTGATGTTGTGTACATTTGTGGATTGCGTGTGCGTTGTTTGGAAAATGTTTACAAATTTTCTGACCAAGACTGTACTTCCATTAATCATTATTGATTCCATCTCATTCGTATATTCATCATCATGATGATAATAATGATAGGGATAATAATGAGAAATAATGATGTAGTAATGATAAAAATATGTACTATTCTTTTCCAAATGAATTATTAATTTGGTCCTTTTGTTATCACTGCCATTCAAGCTTTTCTTGACACATTATCCACCTTTTTAAAGCAACATTTGGGATAGGAGAGAACAAAACAAAATAGTAACATATTAGCAATCAGAAAGGAATAAATAAACGCATTTCTCAAAGGAACTCAAGTTATTCAGTTCATGTCCTCTTTTTCATTGAATGGCTCCGATAATACCATTGTTAGAAGCCCTACACGTTCCGTTACAGCCGATAACCAAGAAGTACAAGTTCACTCACTTCTCTCCTGTTGTTATTCATCAAAGTAAAAAATCTGTACCCTCAAAAGTACAGTGAATGATACAGACACAACACATGTAATCGGAGGTTAAGATATCTTTTATTAACGAGAACACCGTGTCATTTAATAGGTGTTGATAGAAATCTACGTTCTCTTTTCGTGCTCTAGCACAACCTTTCAGAATATTTCGTAGGGAATTCGTATCAAGGAAAAGGGATACAAAATCCTAAAGAAAGATTATGTACATAACGACATAGCTATTTCTACACAATATTCATAAAGAGTAAATCTTCAAAAATAGGACACTATCTTTACATGTATGTTTAGGCAAGTCCACAGTTACAGTAATGCCAATTTCAATGATAACAATGGTAATATAGTTGATAATGATAGTAGTAATAGTGATAATAACAATGAAAGAAAGAAGAAAATTATCATGATTACGATAATAATGATACTGATAAGCATAGTATGAAAAAACAATAATCATAATAATAGTACTAGGGGCCTACTATTGAAATGATACTATCCATGCTTATGAAGATGATAATTAATAAGATAAAAAAATTATAAAATCAGAAACATTAATGATGATTTAATGATAATGGCGAAAGTGATAATAAAGATAATAGTAATAATGATAAGGATAATGAAAATTATGATATTTATTATAATAATAGAAAAGAAAATCACAATAATAATGATAACTACAATAATAATGATGATAACTACAATGATAGTGATGATAATAATGATAATAATGGTGATATTAATAAGAATAATGATATGATACTTATGATAATGATCAAAATAGTAAAGAATGATAATGATAACATGTAATTGTGTCTGTGTTCACATATATATATATATATATATATATATATATATATATATATATATATATATATATATATATATATATATATATATATATATATATATATATATATATATATATATATTATATATATATATATATATATATGCATGCATGTATATATATATATATATATATAATATATATATATATATGTATGTATACATATGTGTATATATATATATATATATATATACATATATATATATATATAATATATATATAATATATATATATATATATATATATGTATATAGATATATATGTTATGTTTGTGTACGGGTCTCTCTCTCTCTCTCTCTCTCTCTCTCTCTCTCTCTCTCTCTCTCTCTATATATATATATATATATATATATATATATATATATATATATATATATATGATATATATGTCACATTTTATGTTCTCTTTACCATCAACATTATTTGTATCACATTTGTAATTCTTACTGTTAATTGTAATTCTTATCGTTGTGTATACATTTTTTTCATCATTAACCTCATACTAAAGCAAAGGTATTTTCGTCCTTTTCCCTCCTTTTATCATTGCCAGATGAAATAAAGCCAACAGTTATCTTATAATATTAAAGAATAACAAACTGCAATATAACGTTCATCGATCAAGAGTCTTTATTTCAGATAAGCATTACAGTACATCTTGGTATATCTTCCATATTTGTCACACATTACTAGTGTCCCCTTTACTGCTTCGGAATTCACAGAATTCAGACTAACGGAAACCGACGGTCATTGTTCGTGTTGTCAGATTCGGGCCATCTCTTACACAGCTGGCTTCTGGATGTTCTGGCCGTCGGAGAGGACGATGCCGCTCGGCCCATCAGACACGACCGTCGTGAAAGGCTCCCTGAACTGGACGATCTGACCCCACGAGGTGATCATGCCGGTGGGCCCAACGATGTGGCGCTTGGAGCGGCCCGTCATCTTGAGGTTCTCGTCCAGGTGGATGGGAGGACCGTTCTTCAGGATGATGCCGGAGGGGCCAAAGGAAAGGATCTCATGGGCCATGTCGTGGCCGAACAGCTCAATAGTGCCGTCCTTGCGCACAATTCCGGAGCGGCCGATGTTGCCAGCATTATTGACCAATCCATCGGTGGAGCGCTTGCTGCGGCACAATT